ATATACAGTAATAGCTGTTTACTGCCCTTTACATACATACTGTACATACACACACACACACATACACATTCATGAATGGTCCCTTACGAGTAAAATCCTCGATTATTTCTTAAATGAAATAAACTTGCGCACAAACATCGAAAATTTAGACAAAATCTAGACAAGGTATGTGCAGGGCCGGTTAGCATTCGTTTGATCTCTAACCATAAAGTATTGAAGTTCTCATTACTCCTTAAACGTTTCATTTTTCTCCACTTTTTGTAGAATTTATAGCTCAACCCTACTTTTATACCAACAAAGCATGTAAAGAATAATTACCAGAACAAGGAATTTGTATTTATGATAGAATTTTAAAACATTTAATCCATTTTTTGGCAACCATACTATCATACCACTACCGACTTCCTGCTAAGCTATGCAAACACGACCACAGTACAAGTTATAACAAGAACGCTGAAACGGAAATCTTAACGACATTCATTTTGCCACTAAAACTCACCACCTCCCCATTTTTACACTCAAGGAGAAGACAATGCACGCATGAAATTATTCAATACATACATTAAACTATTCACATTGGTAATTTTCTGCATTGCTTTTGGATCTAAACTAAGTCCCAATCAGTGTTACAAATATCTCTGAGCTTTGAACTTTTATATTTTTGGATACCATCCAATTCCGTCCTTTCCTTTCCCCGGGCAAAAGCACTGCTTCCGGACTTGCTGCTGAGCTACGTAATGTAGGTCATCAAGCGACCGTACAAAAAGATTGAGTTATTTTCCTACTGATGAGAAGACATAGCACGGAATTTGAAGAAGTTCCTACTGAAAAGGGGATCATAAATTGACTCTTAACAATGGTAAGCCGGTAGAAATAAGAGGATTTCTCGTATGTTTAAAATATGTACAATATGTCTTCTAGTGATGAATGGACAGTACAATGTGTACAGCTTTACCATATAACAATTTATAGCGAAGTTTTAGAACTTTAACTAAATGTATTCTCCATAGGGATTTTCTTTCCTTGTCGCCTCAGTACTTCTGTTTCCATGCTTCAGTCTGACGGGAACTGTTCCAGTGGGTGAGGTAAGCAGCTAGTATAGTGAGCTAAAATGGCCTCCAGGTTAAAACTTTTCTCATGTTTGTCCTAACATCCCGCGTGCTCTATTTCATCGGCAGAGCATGGAACTAAACTTTTAGACGGCAGTTAAACTAAATATTCTCAGAATGATACAATTGAAGACGAAATATCTCAACTGAAAACAAGAGTTTATTCTATGGATCTGAGTAAGAATAGTTGGTTAATGGCTAACAAGAACCTAATTTTCGGGAGAACCAAAACACCGATTTTGGAATCGAGTTAAACTCCGATTTCGAGCCCGAGTTAACGAACAGTTTAAACAGCGAACCATCACGAGTCTTAGAAACCTCGACGTTTTCGAATTTTCTTTCCAGCGCCAAATTTAAGTCATAACGTTAACCCTTCTCTCACATCCCTATAGAACCGAGAAAGTCGCGTTAGAGATTAGTCTTCGCGTCTTTAAGCCATGAAATTTGCCTGTATTCACATACTACCTCGCTTGTTCTGACCCGTACTTGGAGCTCACGGTACACCTCGTGATGGTTCGCTGTTGGGATCCCGAGTCTCCAACCTTCTCTTATTTCTTACTGGTGGGGAAAAAATCCTTAAAACAGGCTAAATTCAAAAAATAACCACACAGAACGAAAGAAGTGCTGTTTCTCAATGATCGGGTAAAATGTCGACGCTTTATTTCACGTTTCATGATTTTATTGATATTTTTGATGAATCCCCATACCTTTCCTTGTAACATGACACCACAGAAACCAAGCTTGGGCTACCTGTGGTATAAGTGTAGACGGGGCCCAACTCAACTGGGCAGTTCTACATGCAGCTTCTAAAAAAAAATTAAGACGGCCATACAGCATGAAAAACAAATCATAAAAAAACATATTTATTAGAATTAATAGGGATAAATCTTTTTTATTATTATTTGGCTTACGATTATGGCAGTTAGGTGGACCGCGGCGTTTTGACTCCTACTGCTGGACTTTAACAGGCGATGGTGTAGACTTGAATATGGTATACCGTCAGTCTGGCACCCTTGAGAATCCTTGGGATGAAAGACGTCCAAGCACTGATTTGCGGCGTATCAGCCACCTATGCTACCCCTATTAAGCCAATCGTAGGGAATTTGGCGTCATTTATTTATCTTAGCCCCCTAGCATTTTACACTTGTAAATCACTTGTCACGAAAGTTAAAAGAAGCTTAAATACGCCAGTAAAGACGCTTTGATCTATGAAAACACTAAAATACTTTCGGTTGCTTTTCGCGTCAAAAGGTATATTTCAAACTTTTCTAAATGATATTAGCTGCACTCCACTTGCTCTTTTCATTTTTTCTGCTGTGTTATTGATTAATAGCACTACTCCTAGCCAATCAGAATCGAGTGAAATTTTTCGTATATATTTTTTAATAATAAACAGGAAAAAAATGGAGTGCTTTCTGCAGTTTTTATGTAGTCTTTACTCGATGACTCGTTCGTCCGTTCTATGATACTCCAATCGCGAGTAACAGCCTTTAAACAAATTAAACTGATAATATCTATTTATATTCCCTCGGGTTCCCTCATTATGTGATATTTCAAAAACGAGTGAGAGTGTTTCATTGGGGTTTCCAAACACAAGAAACCATTTGAAAGCACGATACCGTAGGCCGAGTGCTTTTATTGTTTTTGAGTGTTTGGAAACCCTAATGAAACACGAAGCTCGAGTTTTTGAAATTACTTCTCTAATGAGTTAATAATTTATTATGCAGGAAAAGAAGTTTCCTTGTTTTTATGTTTTTATTCAATATACGTAGAACAGTTGTATGGGAAAAAAATTAATGAAATAAAGATCCAACCCAACTTTGTCAGCAAATTCCTCTTTTGAATAGTTGGTGAATCACTAGACTATCACGCAAAGGGTCCCAGGTTCGAGACATGGTAAGTCCAAGGTAAAAAGAAAAGAAATTCTTCTAGCTATTATGAGACTCCCACGACAAATATGTAGATTAAGAAATATTTCAGCACTAGTGATGAAAATATATTTCAAACACTAGTGACAAAAATGGGTTTTCATTAGGTTTCAAAAACACATCTGAAAAGTGCCCCTCCATTGGTTGCTGAGCTTATGAAATATTAATGAGTTTGAGAAAATATATTTATTTGCTGTTGTTTCACTCATCATGCATATCTGGTTTTCAGATCCAAACTCCAGAGTTTGCCTTGGAGCAGAAAGCGTCTGTTACCAAATTTACTGAATTCCACATATTAGAAGGAGGTTCCGAATTTGATGAAAGCATTGACATCGACGAAAAGAAAGAAATTGAACATTTTAAAGTTCCTTCTCACAATGGTTTGTCAGAGAGCGATTATCTGTACGACTTCAAAATGGTAAGGAATAAAGATCTTAAAAGCTCAGTCAACAATCAATATATTTGCCGTTTAGTACAACCGTCGTACATGAAAATTATCTATAATGATTATTAGTGAAAGAAACTGTCATTTGCTACATGTGAAATTCATTTGGAAACTTCTCCCCAGTCGTCTTTTGGTACTTGTAATAATTTTCTCAGGTTTTTGTTATAATCGATACACAAGCTTATGTGTGATTGTTCTACTAGAGAGTCACTTTTACTCCAACGACGCTCTGCCAGTAGGGTAGCGTGAGATCGTATTATTTCTGAAACGGCGGCTTTAACGGTATCAATTGTACTTTTTACAATAACGTACAAATTTCTCGCGCGCTGATTGGTTATTTTTTATCATCAATTTAACCAATTGACATCAGATTTTTATGTGTCTGTCCTCTTATTGACAATAAATAGCGTCATCACATTGTCAAAGTAGTGTGGATCCACGAAGCGTAGAAATTTGTAAGTTATTGTAAAAAAGAGGACAGACAGATAAAACTGTCGTCAAAGAGCGCGCGCTCTTTCCATTAGTTGTTTTGATCAGTAAAAATGAAGAGTTTTTATCGTTTTTGTTATTGTAAAAAACAAATTGACTTCAGATTTTTATGTCTCTGTCCTCTTATTGACAATAAATTTCGCCATCACATTGTCAAAGTAGTATGCGCACTACTTTGACAATGTGATGACGCAATTTATCGTCAATAAGAGGACAGACACATAAAAATCTGATGTCAATTAGTTAACTTGGTGGCCTCAATTATAAGCATTTTTATAGTCATCTCAGACTGAAATAATTTAAAGTTGAAGAATGGGAAATGTATGGGTCTGATACACTTGTTGCTGAACAATTCAAGGGCAACTCCATGTTAAAGTTGCTATATTTTCTGTACTATGTGATGTCTCTTATTTGGTCTTCCTTTGCTATCACCTCACGGTCTATATAAGAATAAAGGAAATAAGATGGACCACAACAAATACCGTGGAATTTCCATCACCGCCATGTGCTTTAAGATCTTTGTTCAAATAATTATCGGAAGGTTAAGACCATTGTTTGAAACATTACTTTTACCAACTCATTTGGGCTTCAAAGCAAATATGTCCACAAATGATGCAAATGATGTCGTAAAGAATGTTATTGATAATCATCAATGTAATAGGACGTTTGCACGATGGCGTCATTGACCTCTACTACCAGACTCCCTTGCACGCTTTCTTTTGTTCAGTTAATTAGCACCAATTGTCTTACTATTCTCATGAGGGAATACAAATTTAAATAAGAAAGAAAATTCGCAAAGCATCTTGGTAGTGGGAGTCAAATGACGCCATCATGCAAACGTCCTATTATAAATTATTCAGCTGTTTCATTGATTTCAATGCAGCGTGTGACTGAATAGATCGTGATGCTACGTTCAAGATTCCAGAGATACGTACCGGAGCTAAAACTCTTTTCAAATCGTTGGAATGTATTCATGTGGGGACAACTGCCGCAAACAAACACTCAACAATAGTTTTCGAAACCCCATCTGTGGTTGCAGTCAGGGAGGTTTGGGATGTCCTAGCATCTTCAACATCTTTAATTTTTTCTTGTTCTGAGAATATTTGATAGGATCAATTAATAAATCTATGACACTGGTGTTATCATCGACAATGCGATTTCATTTACGTTTGAACCTTTTCATCTCTTCTTTTACTCAAACACACCCGCTCACTTCCAGACCCCTTGAAAAGCTATGGCGAGATCACTGAACTGTGTAAAATGTAATTGCAAAAAAAAAAAAAAAAAAAAA